TTCAAAATAGTGGTATGGAGAAGATTGTGGAACGATAAATTATTACCGCCACCTCTTCAAGAATAGTCTCATGCACCCAATTGAAAAGATGATGTCCTCGACCACTCTGCGAAGAACAAAAGAAGACATATAATTTTTAACAGTTAAGGACGAAGATACTGTCTTAGATACTGTCCATATATCCATAAGTTAACTGGGACGGTGAATAGAGTTACCTCAGCATTGGAAGATAGGTAGTAACTTCTACCTAAGGGAGACACTGAGTCGGATGTCTTGATTACAAGATCCATACCACACCAGCACCCAAAAGGAATTCCCTTGTTGCAGTAGGAGGCCATGTCCTCTGAATTGATTGATGAAGGCGGGGAAGACCCATTAGGTATGTTATTTTAAGAGATGTGATAAGATTGAGGGAGAGAATAAGATGTTCAAAGTTAAATAGAGTGAAGATGAGGTGTTGCAGTTGGTGAGTAAGAATAGTAGTAAGACAACATGTGGAGAAGCTTTGGAGTTGGGGTCCCATATCCTTAAACTTAAATAAGTGCACATATTACTATGGAGTAGAACTATTGTGAGAAGGCTACTTTATTGGACGACGAGATTCTAAACAGTGCATGTACGAGAACGAGTAATGGCTAACGTGGTTGTGGACGTTTTCCATCCAACCAGTACAGTAGTTGTTTGTCCTTATTATAATTGTGGACATCTTCCAATTAACGAGTACAAATAGCAGTTGTTAGAGTAAAGAATGGAAAAATGTAAAAAACGGTCACGAGTCCTCTGCAATATTCCTTCTAATTGCTGGTCTCGGGGCTGCGGTTTAAAAAGGGAAAGTTGCCGCCAAAAGGCAAATTTTCCTTCAAATTTAGAATGTAATGTAGATGGCGTACTCACATCCCATTATTTAATAAAAAAAAACTAGTAAGCCGTGGACGTGCATATATGTGTTGGACAAACATAGGACGCAAACTAATATTGTGTCGTCCATAATTGAGAATGTCATTCCTACGATTTCTGTTGATATTAAATAACATACAACTGCCAAATTAATGGGCATCGTTAATATTAGCCATTGAACCTCTATATAACAACAACAAATCTAATTTCAGTTTGTAAAGACAGTTGTCTTCAATTATCATATATGGATATCCTTTTTGCACTACCACTACAACTCCAAGTGTCAATTGCCATTTTGGTGGCACGATCAGGCCATACCAATGTCAGCCCATTACTCGTCTCCTGTAAAGCCGGAATGGAATTGGTTTGTACAACTGACGTGCTCCGGGAGGTCTCATTCCGAGGTATCGAGCACCAGCCAGGCCTAATAAAGGAGGGGTCAGGCTTACGGCCTTTCCTTGTTTGATGCTGCATGGCGGGAAATGGACATGCAGTGTACCTTGAGTCCCTTAAACTTGCTTTTGTCAATGTTCGCGTTGTAGCGGCAGTTGATTTACTACAGTCACAAAACAGTGTCATCTGAACCCGTGGGTTCGCACTTTTGCTATTATTATTTGGCATGGGCCGTGATAGTGAAGGAAGAAAATCCATGGAGGAGTATAAGGTTACGTGTGGTTCGTTTGACATAGCTGTGAGAGTAGCGAGTCGAACATTCTGGGACATATCTAAAATCGGGCCAACGCGAAGGCTCATCCGTTGTACGGCATGGCAACCATTAATGATAGTACCCCCATCAGCTCTGGAATCGGGTTGTGAGGATTACAATACACTAAACTCGTGTGCCACATGCTTGTTTTGGTGGAGACGACCATGGTGGCCACCAGGGATGTTTCTTCCTCCCAAACGTATGCGAGGTTGTCCAGCATGCGTAAGGCTGCCACCATGTTCAAAATGTTCAAGATGGTGGGAACAAAAGTAAGTGGAAGATTGGGAAACCCATCGGTTCTTTTTAGATGTCCTCTGAGTTCTTTAAAATAATGTAGACTTATTTAGATGTTTGTACCTCTATTATGTAATGTCTTCGTATTGTCCTTCTTCGGAATGTTTTTATCTTTGGTGTAACATCTATAATATGTGATATTAACGTCTTTGTTAGACAATTTCATTCAATTATTTAAGGAAATGTCCTTTAAATAACTATTAGGACGTCCTTCGCAGATGTCCTATTCAAACTGGAATTACACACAGTGATGTTTTGGAGACAATGAAATCCACGTGTTGTCATATGATTGTAGATAAACAACTATTAGCCGTTTATTATATAAAAGTGTTAAAGGCAAATCCTAAAAAACAACCCAATTGGATTTGGTTTGACTTTAAAACGGGTAAAGTTAATTTGCAATTGCCAAAATGTAGTAATTTTGACAACCCGTTAAAACAATGACATTTTTAACGAGAAATTTTAAAAACAATGGCATTTTTTTTAATATTCACGTAATTATTTCATTTGGTGAGCCGACCACATGGAAGGCTCAAGAGACGAATTGAAAATTATTAAAGACATTTCGACGCTTTTGATACGTACGGCCTCTCAAGACTTTTTAGCTATTCCCAATGCCAACTGTCAATGTTCATATCTCTACTGCCAATAGTCCAAATACTTACAAGTATTTTTGCATATTTCTTTTCCATAGAAAATTTTATGCATAATGAAACGTTTTTTTCGTGCATTTTACTTCAATTATAATAGAGAGAGGTTATGAAAATTATCAATGTATAGAGGAAAATTTGTCAAACAACAATGTGAAAATTGGATTTCTCACTAAAAAATCTTCAACTTTATGAAGCTGCTTCAACTTTTTTTCAAAAAAAAACACTAAAACTTGATAAAACCTCACGATTCATAATTTATAAATTTTTGAAAACTACTTTCTTATCAAATATTAAAATACCTAAATCAAAAACACAGCCAAAAGTCGATTCATAAATCAGAAAAGACAGATTTGCTTTCGGGTTAACTCAATGCTCTTAAAAACACTTGCATCGCATATGTACCCGACAAAACACAAATGTGGTACACGTATGAAACGTACTTAAGTAATAATCAAGCACTTATTAGCAGCTACATTATGCAACGAGAATATTTTTAGTTCTCAAATTATAAAAATGATATGCCTTATTATGCCATTACTAATCAAAAGAAGAAGTCAAAGGTATAACTTAATGCTGTTATCAGTTAATAAATAATGGAAAAAACTCACAAATTGGCAAACTCCTTATTAACATTTTCTTCTATTATTCAAATCTCATCATTGGACCCACCTAACCATACCCACCATATGATGTAGACAATCCCTCTGGCTCTATATATACTTTGCATTTCTCAATCTCCAAAACACACAACACAAAGAACAATAAACCTTCTCCTCCACTCAGAGACTTTCTCATAACTCTTAACCTTAAAATGGCTTCTAATGAAGAAGGCTCAATTGGAACCTCCTTGCATGGAGTCACAGCAAGAGAACAAGTCTTCTCCTTCTCCGTCGATGCTTCATCCCAAACCGACGATCCCACGGCTAAATTCGCCCTTCCGGTGGATTCCGAACACCGGGCCAAAGTGTTCAACCCACTCTCATTTGCTAAGCCTCACATGAGAGCCTTCCATTTAGGATGGATCTCGTTCTTCACTTGCTTCATTTCAACCTTCGCGGCCGCACCTTTAGTTCCCGTCATCCGCGACAACCTCGACCTCACCAAAACCGACATTGGAAACGCCGGAGTTGCTTCCGTATCCGGCGCCATTTTCTCAAGGCTAGCCATGGGAGCGGTTTGCGATCTCCTCGGTGCTAGGTATGGAACCGCCTTCTCCCTCATGCTAACTGCCCCAACCGTCTTCACAATGTCGTTCGTGGCCGACGCGGGCGGATACTTAGCCGTCCGGTTCATGATCGGATTCTGCCTCGCCACGTTTGTTTCGTGCCAGTATTGGACCAGTGTCATGTTCAATGGCAAGATCATAGGACTAGTCAATGGTTGCGCCGGTGGGTGGGGGGATATGGGCGGTGGAGTGACTCAGCTACTTATGCCGATGGTCTTCCAAATCATTAAACTCGCCGGAGCAACTCCGTTCACGGCATGGCGCATAGCTTTCTTCGTTCCCGGTTTTCTCCAAGTTATTATGGGCATTCTTGTCCTCACTCTTGGCCAAGATCTCCCTGACGGTAACCTAAGTACTCTTCAAAAGAGCGGTCAAGTTTCTAAAGACAAATTCTCCAAGGTAATTTTATATATGGATTCATCTCATTTTCACTATATAATAAAGGAAACGATTCGTAGTCATATGACATTTTGTAACAAATTTTAGTTCTAGCAAAGATTTGCTGACTAAGTTGCCTAAAAAGTCTAAAACATATGTCAATATAGCAAATTAGCACACAAAAAAATGATACGGAAAAATTATTTAAGAGTTTTCTATTTCTTGTATGTAGTTAATAAATTTCGTATGTATATTGCTATTTTATTTTTTCCTAATTGTCAGACATTCGTTATTTGTTTTAGGTTTTCTGGTTCGCTGTGAAGAACTACAGAACATGGATTTTATTCGTTCTTTATGGATCTTCAATGGGAATTGAATTAACTATCAACAACGTTATCTCCGGATATTTCTACGACAGGTTCGATTTCTTCTTCGTTAGATTCCAAATGATGATCTTACTTATGGAACAAGTAATAACAACCTTTTGCTTTCTTGTTCTCTACGTATCAGGTTTAACCTTAAGCTTCAAACAGCTGGTATTGTAGCAGCCAGCTTCGGAATGGCAAACTTCTTTGCCCGTCCCTTCGGTGGCTACGCTTCTGATGTAGCTGCTCGAATCTTTGGCATGAGAGGCCGTTTATGGACCTTGTGGATCTTTCAAACCGTAGGAGCTCTCTTCTGTATCTGGCTAGGTCGTGCTAGTTCACTTCCCATAGCGATCTTAGCAATGATGCTCTTCTCAATCGGTACACAAGCCGCTTGTGGAGCTCTCTTTGGGGTTGCGCCATTCGTCTCTCGCCGCTCTCTAGGCCTCATATCGGGGCTAACCGGCGCAGGCGGAAACTTCGGGTCCGGTTTAACTCAACTGCTTTTCTTCTCATCTTCGAGGTTTAGTACAGCGGAAGGACTCTCATTGATGGGTGTTATGGCGGTTGTGTGCACAATCCCGGTTGCGTTTATACATTTTCCGCAATGGGGAAGCATGTTTTTGAGACCGTCAAGCGATGGAGAAAGGTCGAAAGAAGAATATTATTACAGTTCTGAGTGGACAGAGGACGAGAAGCGACAAGGGTTGCACGAAGGAAGCATCAAGTTTGCTGAGAATAGTCGGTCTGAGAGAGGCCGGAAAGTAGCTTTGGCTGACATTCCAAGCCCGGAGACCAGAACTCCGAGTCACGTTTGAAGAAAAAATCACAAAGGGAATTTTCTCATATATAAACAACTCTTTAATTATAGTTTCATATATATAGTTTCTCATATGAGATATGTAGCTGAGTAAGATCTTGCTTTGATAGGTAAGATTCGATGAGCTCGGTACTTAGTATTAATTACTGTAACGTTGTTTCGATGGAAAGGCAAATTGTTCAACAAACTCTTGTTTCCTCATCTATAAGCTTCTCTTCAATCAGATTAGCATGTCAAGCTATAGTAGGATAAAGAAAAGCTCTCTGTTAAAGATGCTTGAAATGCTAAGAAGAGTGAACATGAAGAAAACTTTATGAACAAAGACTACGGAAGAAAAAATTGAATGAGTAATATTCACACCTTAGAAACAATACACACATCAAAAGATACTGAGCAGAGTATGAGAAACTAATAAACTAGAAACAATTTTGAATCGGGATTCGGAAGAAAACCGAGTGTGTAAACTGTAAACCTTGTGAAAGTGGTTAGTAGGTTATGTCTGCATTCCCATCATCAATTACAGATTGTCCAATATATAGCACCATTTTGCTGAAAATGTGTTGTGTCAAAACTAGAACCAAAGAAAGAAAAACTGGAAAAGGGTATAGAGATGTAAAGACTAAAACAAGCTACATTGGTTTATTCAGGAGCTTTGGTTCTCAGAACAAAGACAATTGTTGCTGCAAATTTTGCTATAGAAGCAGCCTGTTTGAGCTTAAAGCAGGAACCACCAAAGATGACTTGTTGGCTTTTATACATGGAAGGAAGAAGACTGAAGATTTGATATCAAACATAAATATATACACAAACCCATAACTACAACACAAGAAACTCAGATACAGCTAGAAGCCAGAAAAAAACTGTATCTTCTTCACAACTTTAACGACTACTCCATAACTTTAATCATCCAATTTGTGTTAAATGTTTTGGGGATTCATTGACTACGAAGAATGTTGCAATTGCTGCAAGCCTACATCAATCTGTGTAAGACACCAACGAGAGAAACTAGTAAAGCCTAAACCTTGGTAATTTGGTTCGAACTCACTTCACAAGTAAGGAATAGACAAATTTCCCGAGACTACATTTTTTTGTTTAGTACACTATTAAGTGACGAGAATAACAAAACCCCTCGGAGGCGTAATGTCAGTATTACTATTACCCAACACGCTTTTGCGTAATGTCACTGTGCAACTCGGTCATCGATTCAATCTTTTGAATCAAGACAAAGACAGAATATTCGGATACTTTTCCAACGAATATTCGAACATGAATTAAGAAAAACTCCAACTTTAATATTAAATAATAAGACCATAATCGTCAACATCTCAGTGTTTAAACAAAAAAAAATCCTACAATACCACCAAAAATATCACTTTTTCATTTGTCTCTCTCTGTTTCGCCTTCAAAAAAACGTTCAACAAACAATAAAAAAAAAGATGCAACAACAGTGATAATAATAATACTACTAAATATAGAAGAATCTCTGACCTCTTTAAATGCGTAAGAAATGCAGAGACTACGAGTATGGCTTCTCTCTCTATCTCAGGTTTGGCTTCAGAACTCGTTAAAAACCATTCCCAAAACCAAAATCCCTCACTCTCTTGGCATGACCCAATCGAGTCTTCTTTTCCTTTTTCTACTTCAAGAGGAGACAGGACTCGACCTTTATCTTCAATCTTCAAGTCCGGCTTTAGCCTTGAGGTGCTTCTTGAAGTCCATAATGTCACCGTTCCATTTCGTTATGCACTGCTTCTCACACACCCATATCTCATGAGCCACTTGGTTAATCAGCCTGAAGTCGTGACTCACCAGAACCAAACCACCGTCCCACTCGTTCAATGCCTCGGCCAGAGAGTCAATTGTCTCAATGTCCAAATGGTTAGTCGGCTCATCCAGTAGAAGCATGTTAGGCTGCTTGTAAGCCAACCATGCGAATATCACACGGCTCCTCTGTCCGTCAGATAGATTCTTCATCGGCATTACTTGGGCCTTACCCGTCAGCCCGAATCTTCCGATCGCAGCTCTCATTTTCTCCTCTTCGTTACCAGGGAACTCCCTCATCATGTAGAGAAGGGCAGGCATTTCCAGGTCTAGCTTCTCAGCCAGATGCTGATGGTACTGAGCAATCTTCAAGTGGTTGTGACGCCTCACCATTCCCTCAGTCGGAGTCAATTCACCAGTCATGAGCTTCAAGAGGGTACTCTTACCAGCTCCATTCGGTCCCACAAGGGCAACCCTCGAGTCCAAGTCGACACCAAAGTCGATGTTTTTGTATATGAGGTAGTCTGGTGTGTACCCAAAAGAGACTTCCACAAACTGAAGCACTGGTGGTGGAAGCTTCCCGACATCAGCAAAACGGAAAACGAGAACGCTGTCTCTGGCGACCTTTTCTGTGAGCCCACCTCTCTCCATCTTTGCCAGTGTTTTCTCCTTACTCTGTGCTTGACGAGCAAGTTTGGCTGAACCGTGACCAAACCGAGCAATGTACTCCTTCATGTGAGAAATCTGCTCCTGCTCCCATCTGTATTGTTTCATCTGGTTCTCTTCCAGCTCAGAACGAGTCTGGCAATACTGTTCAAAGTTACCAGTGTAGTACTTCAGCTGTTTGCTTTGCATGTGGATGATGTTTGTGCAGACTCCATTCAAGAAATCCTGTGAGTGGGATACCACAACAAGGATGCGGTCAAAATTCTTCAGACTTTCCTCTAGCCAGACACAAGCTTCCAAGTCTGTTTCAGGACAGAACTTTAAAGTAAGCATCATAAAACACACAATACTAATGAATCACACAATAGAAAACCATCCAAAGCAAGTACTAAACAAAGAGAGATCACAAACCTAAATGATTTGTCGGCTCATCAAGCAAAAGGATTGTTGGCATTATGAAAAGCGCTCTTGCTAACGCAATTCTCATCCTCCAGCCACCAGAAAAATCTTTCGTTTTCTTGGCCTGCATTTCCTTGTCAAAACCAAGACCAAAAAGAATTTCAGCAGCACGCTTCTCTGCGGTTGCAGCATCCATGGCTTCCAACCGCTCATAGATAGAATCAAGACGCTCTCCGCCTCCCTCATCCTGAAACAAACACAACTTTCATTAGCATCCAACACAAAAATACAAAATTCAGCATCCAGTCTTTAGTTATTAATACACAAACCTGCTCAACCAGAAGTTCGACTTCCTTCTCCAACCTCATCCTCTCCTCGTCACAGCTCATCACAGCCTCAAGGGAAGTCATGTCGGTAGCTTCAATCTCGTGGGAGAGATGATAGATATCCATATGATCCGGAATCGGTAACTCCCTGCGTCCAATCGCGGTTAAAAGAGTGGACTTTCCACAACCATTCAACCCAAGTAGACCATAACGTCTCCCATAGTTAAGCTCCAACATCGAATCAACAATAAGGTCATAACCATGAAACGTCACAGACAGAGATTCAATCTGCAAATCCAAAAATTACCCTTTCATCAAAATCTCTTACAAACTATAACCAATCAACCTTAAGATTATCTATAAGAATCAACAACGAATCAAACCCAGTTCTGAGGAATCCATATCGAAAATCGAATCTGAGACTTACCCGAATATCTCTGGATTGAGGATGCGAGCAGAGGATTCCGGTACAAGTCCGATCAGAAATATGAAGAGCATCAACACCACTCGACAAATTATCAACTCCATTAGAAGAAGTAGCAGCAGATTTAGATGCAGCTGCAGCTTTACCACCTCTTTTAGCAGCAGCAGCAGCTTTCTTCTGAGCTGCCTTCTTCTTGCTTGCGTCCGATACCATCTTAAAATCTCCCTGAAAGCAATCGAATCCAAATTCAACCATCGAGAATATATAAATATAGATCGGAGAATCTAGAAGAGCAAGAAACCGCAAATTAGAAATTACCTGTGAGATTCTGGAGATGGAGAGGTCGAGAGAGATCTGTAGATCTAGGGTTTGCAGCAGAAATCTCTGTTCGGCAAAAAATTAGGGTTAATGATGGTTACTGGTGACGCGAGGCGGAAGAATCGGTATTTATAAGGGAGACGATACTTCAGGGACTGCCACGTGTACGGCGAGACTGAGTTTAGCTTTCAGATTTCAGTTTACGTATCAGAATCCAACACCAACTCTCCCCATTCTGGTTCGGTTTCCCGAATAAGGTGCGGTTTATATGGGCTTTGTGAATTAAAGGCCCAATATTTATCTATCTGTTTTGTGAAGATCCAAAAGTGAAAAATAGAAGCCCAAATGTCTTACTTATTACCTAAATAAACTCTTTGTGTGGATGCTTAAAGTCTTGAAGTTGAACCAAGAACTGGATTGTTTTAGTTTTTTTCCAACAATAGTGAGGTGTTTGGATTCGGGTCTTGACGCAACAACGACACTAGCACAAACTGATTGCGTATTTTGATCGTGTACGGAAAGATAATAAAATTTTATGTATGTATCTGCCTTTATTCAAGAAGAATGTTTACCAAAGGTGTATTTGGTTCTTCTGCTTAAGATGTATGCATGAAGTCATATCTTGACTTTCTGGTGGTAATAGGATGGTTCAAGTTCGATGAAATGTGGTTTTGATTAGTAGAGATGTGAAGAAGAGATTGAAAGTAATGAAAAAGAAGGGTTGTGTGGATGTGTTTCGGTTAGGATAAGATAGATGCTTTCATTGTTTCAAATGCAATTTACAACAAGTGCAACATTAAGCTAGAATGCGAAAGGATATGCTTTTACAATGGAATGATTAATTCATCTTGAAGCAAACCAAGCTTCCATTCTGCTCTTTAAGCAGTAATTACATGTACTCCAAATTGTGGACAATTGGTTTTGATACCTCATGTAAACTTAAATCTTAATGATTTCAATTATGAAATCTATCCCAAGATCATCTAGATTTGATTTAACTCACCCACAAACATTTTCTTGTAGAAGAAGAAAGACTAACCTTGATCCATTGCTTAATAAACTTGTAATGGAATCAATTCACCAATTGATTTCTTCCTCCCTTTG